TTCACAAAATTTGGCATTGATTATTATAAACGATGATTTTACAATCTCCGAATATATTATTCAGTCGTATCACTACAGGATATAACTTCCAAATAAAAATATCGATCAATGTCAAGTATTTGTATGAAATCTTTTTTTATTTGAAAAAATATCTTCACAAAATTTGGCATAGTCGTCCAAGGTAACACAACAATCTCCGAACAAATTATTCAGATCTGTCCACTATAACATATAACATACAAACTGACTCATAAAAATTAGGTTCTCTTTTTTTACGTGATAAGAAATGATCCTGTGAAGAATACTGTTGATCAGTACAACCGAAGTTAAATTTTTTGTTTTTGTTTTTAATTTTTTTCACATTTTTTTTTAATTGTCGTCTTTTGTAACGTAAATTTTTTAATATTTTGTTGTTTTCGATTTTTTTTTATTTTGTTTAAAATTATATTTTTTTTGCAAAACCTTTTATTTTTTTATTAAAATTTTAATTATTTCATTAATTTCTTTTTTTTTAATTTCTCTTTTTAATTTCTTTTTATTTTTATATCTTCATTTCGGTTTTTAAATTTTTTTTATTTATTCACCTTTTTTTTTTAATTAATTTCATGGCCTTTTTTATTTTTTCTATATTTCTTTTTTTGCTTTTAATTTATTTCATTTTTTTTTGTCATTTTTTTTAATAATTTTTTTTTTCATTTCTTTTTTTCTTAATTTTTATGTATACATTTACATTTCTACTCTTCAGCTCTTGGGAATTAGACGACACCGAGGGTCCGTCGAGAGTCCATACACGCATGCGCCGCTGCCATTTGGATATTGATAAACGCTTCTTCATGGAGGATTATTACAGCAACACCACAACAGAGTTACGTAACAGTGATATTACTATGAACACCAGTGCCTCGTTCACCATAGAATATGTACGCCCGCTGGAATATCTTTTATCCAGTTATGATCAACAGCTCAATATTTCGCTCAACTCACAAATACTTTATAATTTTCCTGCCAAATTTCTACCCGTCGATGGCGAGATTGATGGTGAAATCATTATAACCGATCATAAACTGTATTTTATGGCTACATATCGCTGCAAGTACTTCTATATTAACTGTGATATCTCGAGTATAACTGAGATTTGGTTGAAACGTTATCAGCATCAGGAAAAGGCTTTCGAAATATTTTTGGATACAAATCAATCACTATTTTTCTCACTACAAAATCAAGATGATTATAAAATTATGTACGATGTATTTTGTGATAAAATCGTCACTCATCCCGATCAAGCGAAAGTACTCGTTATTACGCAACAATGGCGCGAGGGTTTGCTGACTAATTGGGAATATTTAATGACACTAAATCAAATTGCCGGTCGCACTTATAATGATCTCATGCAATATCCCATATTTCCATGGATATTGTCTAATTATGCGTCGGACATTTTGGATTTGACTGACGACACGAACTTCCGCAAGCTAGAAAAGCCGGTTGCTGTGCAGCATGAAGTCAACGAGGAGCATTACGTTGCCAACTATGCGGTATTTTTGGCATTTCATAGTTTTGACTTGAATTTAATTTTCGTATTTTATAGTATCTCAACAATACGATGACTAACATGGGCTCGTTGACACTGAAACCTTATCATTATAGCTCGCACTATTCGAACTCCGGCACGGTACTGCATTTCCTCGTACGTGTACCGCCTTTTACGAGCTATTTCCTCAGATACCAAGGTAAATATTAAGTGCTCGCTCACCAAAAAATTTTCTCAAAATTTAGATTTTAATTTTTGCTCAGTATAATTTTAGGCGCCAAGCGGAACCCCTTAAGAGTGTGCCTAATTTTTCGTTCCATCACTTCTTTTTCAGACAATAATTTCGATTTACCTGATCGCACATTTCACTCACTGACGACCACCTGGAATTTGGCGAGTCGTGATAGCCCCACAGACGTTAAAGAGCTGATACCTGAATTCTTCTGTTTACCGGAAATTTTTGAAAATTTCGAACGATTCGATTTCGGCTTGCGACAAAATGGCGAACGCGTTGAGGACGTACAATTACCGCCCTGGTGTCTGCGAGATTCGCGTCTATTCGTACTCATACATCGTCAGGCACTGGAGGCAGAATTGACACGCAATCACCTGCATAATTGGATTGATTTGATCTTCGGCTACAAACAGTCTGGAGAAAGTGCAGTTGAAGCGATAAATGTTTTCCATCCGGCGGTAATTATTTTCAGACGCTTTAAAGGAAGACTAGGAATTTACATACAGCAAATATTTAAACTATTTTCTTTTTTTAGACGTACCCGTCATTCTTGGAATCAATAACAGTCGATCCAATAGAGCGCAGAGCTGTCGAGACCATGATCAGAACCTATGGACAAATGCCGCGGCAATTATTCAAAAATCCACATCCACAAACGAAATCGCTAAACTATTGCCTCGGCACGAAGGAGGTATTGCCCACCGTGCGTGGCTTAAGGTGGGGCGTTTACTTGGGCTCACCACAGCTGCCGGCGCCAACACTTGGTAATATCTACAAAATACCCGGAGCCGAGTATATAGTGTCATTCAATAATACCAACGCTGTTTATGGGCTACCAATGAAATCCTGCATTATGCAAGGTGCTGAGGTCGATACATACAATGTGATTTCCTGGGACTACAACGATCACATTGTGCGCATACAACCGTTAAACAAGCTATATACAAAACCGAAAAATATACTACGCAGTCACGTTATAGATGATATCACCGCCTGCGGTGCCGATCCAAATTCCAATCAGCTGTGGTTCGGTCACAAATCGGGACGCATAAGTATATACAAATGCGCCAACAATGAGTCGAACAGTCGACCGGTTAAAAACAGACAAAATTATATACGTGGCCTGCGACGCTCCTATAATTCGGCAGTTCGCAAGCTGACGACTAAAAGTTATTCGGACGACAGTGATACTGGCAATGTGACACCGTTATTGGGTTCAACTACAAGCGGCCTGGCGACAGATGCGCCACAACGCGATTGCGCCAATCTCACATGGACGGGTCCAACGATATTGCTGCGACACACGGACGAGGTAACCAGCATACGTTTATCGGTTGAATTCAAAATTGCCGTTTCTGCCGGACGCGATGGTATTGCCGTTATTTGGGACCTTAACAAGTGAGTTCAATACTTTGTGCTATAAAATCTTATAATTTTAACATATTCCTCATTTACTAGCTGGAATTATGTGCGCACAATTGATAGACCTGCGGAGATACATCATTCACCAATAACGGTGGTTACCATAAGTCCCACATTGGGTGATATTGTCACTGTGCACACTACACCGCAGCAGTTGGTGCCAAAGATATCACCGGAGCGACAAAATGCAAAAACTAACGGTATTAACCCAGCTGAACAACAAAGATCATCGGCGCCGGATGAGTGCTTCGAGGTGACCGAGGAGAGTCTCGAGGATTTCGTCAATGTCTCGGTAAATCCGAATGGTAAATCCATCTTGCGTTTGCATACGGTAAATGCCCGCTATGTGCAGCACATCGTGCATGAGGAATGTATATTGGCGGCCACCTATTCGTACATCAAAGAGGGTGTGGGCGTTAATGTCATTGCGACTGCTGTTGAAGGCGGCACTATACGTTTGTGGTCCAGCTGGAATTTGAGTTTTGTTAGCGAAATCATCACAGGCATATCAAATATAAGAAGGTAAAGCAGCAATTACATAAATGAAAAATGTGTAGTGGATAATTACACTTTTTCCCCATTTAGCATCGTTTACTCAACACATCAGCATCTGGTGGCGCTAACTAAAGATTCGCACATACAGGTGTGGGAAACCGAAGGACTTTATGGAAATTCGCCGAAATTTCCGCAAATAGCATATAAGTAATGGCGTGATGAATTATACAGCATAAGCTTAAGAAAAAAACACTCACTAAAACACAGATAATATATCTAAAAAGCAATCACATTTTAAAGTAATTCCAATAATTTATTGTTTTAAAGAATATCTCTTCAATGTGGTAAGTTTTTAAGATTTTTATTTTTATACTCGGTATAGGGTATATTAAATCTGTCATGGAGTTTGTAAACCCCAGCGGGTAACGTCGGAGATCTCTTGAACAATATGTTTATATAAATTACAAAACGAGTCGATTTTGACACGTTCGGAGGTCTGTGCATAAGACAAAAAGTCCATTAGTTTTTGAGATATGAAACTGAAATTTTTCATACCTCCTTTTCACCCCAAGACGTTGCTCATTTGTCGAAACCAGCCACAATGGACCACTATACCATATAGTTGCCATACAAACTGAACGATAAAATTCAAGTAATTGTATGGGAAGCTTTTTCATTCGACAAGATAACTTCACAAAATTTGGCATAGATTATTGTCTGAGGCAACTCCTCGATTTCCGAACATATTGTTGAAATCGGACTACTATAGCTTTAATCTGCCATGCAAACTGACCGATCAAAACCAAGTGTTTTTATAGACAACTTTTTTATTTGATAAGGTATTTCCACGAAGCTTTGCCTGAAAAGTTTTCTATGTCAATGCTAAAACCACCGAACATATCGTTCAGATCGGGCTACTATAACACATAGCTGCCATACAAACTGACTTATCAAAATCAAGTTACACCTGTGTATTGCATTATAGCTTCGGTGCAACCGAAATTTTTTCTGTTTTTTCCGGTATTTGGAAATCAAAATTTATTTTTTGTATTTTTCAATCCGGTATTTGAGATCACAAGTTTTTTGTTTGTCTTATTTTTCAATCCGCTATTTGGAATTAAAAAACAAATCTCAGAAAAAATAATTAATTTATATACTTTTTTATAGATTATTTGCAACGCTGATCTTTACACAAAATCCAAACAAAATAGGTTGCATTTTTTTTGCATTATGAATAAAAAAAAACGCGAATATTAAATATTAATTAATATCATGTTAATTATGTCCAAAAATACTTATTTTTAAGTAAATTATGGTGGCAAGACATTTTTATACAATAAGAAAATTTAAAACAAAACATTTTTTATTTAAAAACATAATTACGCACAAGCTCGTTTAAAGCGCGAATACTGCTACACTTTGTACTTTCCGTATGAATATATTCGAGCATCAAACCCTAATATGCTTGCTGTGGTAAAAATAAACGAAATACTGTTATCCGCGCCATGGTGGCTTGCAGAAATTCATGTGTTTATCCGATTTGCTATTGGATGTAGACGATTTAGTTTTACTAGCTAAAGCGAGGATCTCATCCAATTTATCAAATTCACTGGGCGATTTGCTCAATAGCTGCAATCAAAGATAAATTAAATTACAATTATATGCACTTATAAGGCATTTTACAAACCAATTCAATGTAAGCCTGCAGTCTGTCCATTGGTTCGGGCGAAGACTTTCGCTCATTGTTATTATTTAGATTATTCTCTTTGATTTTCAAAATGCGATCACGCGTTTTATTCTTTTTAGGCGTTCTGTAATTACTATCGTCCTTATTTAGTTCATTCTCATTGTTTGCTGGTGATTCGCAATCTGTATTATTGCTTATTTGTTGTGATTGATTGCTCGGCGATGTCAATATTTCCAATGCCTTTTGCCACTGATCTTCCATGACATCGTGTAACTTTTCCGCAATGACAGCTCTGAAATCAAACAAATTTATATTATTTGTAGGACATTTTTTAGTTAATATTATTTGAAGGAACATCTTAAATTTACGCCACCTTTTTGTTTTGTAAGCATTCAGTTTACAGTCCAAGTCTTCTATTTTCTTTGTGGCGTTCGCCAGTTGTATGCGATACAGTTCCACTTCTTCCTTTTGTTTCTCTTGCAGCAAATTCAGCTCCATCTCGTTTTTCTCATTAATTAATTCTATTTGTTTGACGGCGCGCTCAGCGATTAAACGCTCACGTTCACGCGCCTCTACTTTCAGTATTTCCTCATTCTTGTCTAATTGCTGTTGAAATTCCTTCATTTTCTGCGCCACTGCATTTTCCAATTGTTGTTGGTAGTGTGTTTTTAGTGTCTTCTGTTGAAGCTCCATTTTTTTCTTCAAATTTATCTAAGTTTTAAAGTTTGTTATGCAACGATTAATTTTTAATTTATCAAATATTGTTTACCTCGCTCTCTGTAAGCGCCGTTACTTTTTCTTGCAATACTTTTCGCTGTGTTTCTAACGCGTCTGCGCGAGTTTTTTGTTTTTGTTGAAATTCTTGCAACAACTCCTTTTGATTTCTTAATGTACCGCAGTCCTTTTCTAGTTCGTCGCAGCGTGTTTTGAGCTGCAAATTATTGAAAGAATAAATATATGCATTTTACGTTTTGTTGCTCATTTGTTCTACCTTTTCATTTAGATAATCTACTTTCACTAGTTTATCCTTGAATTTGTTTAACTCATTGATAGCGAATTCTTCCGATCTTTTACAGCCGTGAATTTTTACTTCAAGCTCTTCTATTTGTTGCTTATACATAGTTATGCACTCGTTTGTTTTTCTAGTTGGAAAATAATATAATTGTTATGCATAATGGATTGACTCAAATAGATAAAAGATGTTAATAAATTATTACCTGGAAGTTGTCGATAATTCATTTTCCAGCTTCTCACTTTTATCCTGAAATTTAGTTACTAAGCTTAAGGCCTGTGCTAATTCCTTTTGCAGTGATTCCAGTTTAGTGCTATACTGAGTATTATCTGCTTCTAGTTTCGAAACCTTTTCACGCAGTTGATTGACTTCAGCGTCCAATCTGTTTAACGAATGTTCATATAAAAGTTTGAAAAAATATTTTCGAATAATTGCAACAATTCAGCATAAAGGTGTAGTAGTACTTACGATTTACATTCTGATTGTGCGTTGCATATTGCTGCATCTTTGGCACGATCCACTTCTATAGCCACCGACAGCCGTTGTTGGTATTCAAGTAAGCGCGTTTGCAAAGAGTGTACCGTTCGTTCAAGATGCTGACGCCGCAATTGTTCTTCTATATACACAGACTGTTGAGGGGCAGCACAAGCAATAGCAGTGCCTTGACCACTTTTGCCCCAGATTTCACTTAAACTTATTAAATTCACATCAGCTCCTAAAGTTGTTTTTACATCGGGATATGCTTGTTGATATCGATTTTTCATTTGCTGAGATTTTGCTATTATTGAATTCGGATTATGGACTTCTTGCTGGTACACATTATCCATTTGTTCACGATTTCGATCGTCTAGGAAATTATCAATTTCATTCAAAATGCCGCCAGCATCCTTGCTCTGAAGACGTTCAGTGTTGGCATAACATTTAGGTGTTGAATGGACTAGACCTTCCCTATTATGCCGTGCTGCTTGTGTGCCATTCGATATGGTGGATATGTCTGAAGCGGCTGTAAAACGGCAATCCTTCTCACGTTCCAGCAATTTTAAGCGTGAGTTGATTTCGTTCAGCTCCGTATATTTATTCGCAACAAACATTTCCATATTTCGCTGGTCACTTGCGCCATCAATATTCGATTCTGTAAGTGTTACTTCCATTTCATTTATATTCTTTTCTGAGTGATTTAAATGATTTTTGTGACCAATATATGCATTCATGTAATTGACATCATGTGTAAACGCTGTAGCTGAACTCCTTATAGGATTTATGATTTGAAACTCTTCCAATTCCTCCGGTGTAGCAGTGGCAAAGTAATTCGGTGGTATTAATAGCAAAATATCAGTATCATCTGAATCACTCATTACACGGGGATACCGCGATGTTTTTATATTTTGTTACAAGTTGAAAAATTATTAAATTATGTTGTTAAATGCCCAGTGTATAAAATAATTGTTTATAATTAATTACAAACTAAACTGACTTTGACATTTTTAATGACAACAATGTGGTATCTACTAAGCAATTAGCCGCGCAATAATTCACAATCAGACCGGCAGGTGTTTGAAAAACTGGAGCAGGTACATCAGCATTTGAATTTCTGTATACATTTGCCTAATTGTTGGAATTGTATAACACAAAAAGTCACACAATGTTTTTTTAAATTAATTTTACTTTAAAAATATTGGAATTTATATATTTGCCAGAATTTAAATGTACTCCAATAGTTATTACTATTGTGAATGGGGGGAAAGGATAACAGATGTTATATTACTTCGATAGGCAAATAATTGCAATTCTTTTCGATTTCCAAAACAAAAACTCCATTTTTTTTATTTATTTCATTATTGTTTGCTCAATAAAAATGGGAATTGGATAAAACTAACTGAAAGGGAGGAAAGATTTAAAAATAAACGCAAATTTGCATATTTAGCGAATCCTTTCCCATATACCATTTGGAATAACGTTCCCAAGAAGTGTTGTAAACTATTTAAACATACATTGAGGTTTCATTAAATTAATTATACATTTTCATATTTATATTAAATACAAATACAAAGAATAAATTCAAAACAATTAACATATGATTTTTATAGATATTTTTAAATACACATTCGACTTAGACTATGTTATTGTACATGCTTAATTATAACGTTGGTTGTTTGTTATGCTTCTGTTTCTGGAAGCGTAAGCTGTTGTGTAGGAGCATTAAAATCATCGTCACTACTGTCCTGAATATCCATTTGTGCATTACTGTTACTCCGTCCTTTGCTTACCTTTTCTAATTCCATTTCCAACTTGGCTATTTTATTTTTCTTTTCATTTAATATCAGAAGAAATTTGGAGAGCATCTTCTCTTTCCATTCCTCCTTTTCGAATAACACTTTTTCAACAGAACCGATTGCATTTGATAACGCTTTTTCTATTATCTGATCTTCATTTTTGGACTTCTCATTATTGATCTTTTGTAAGGCAATATCCAGCATATCATAACTTTTATTAGCTTCCTGCAATTGTATTTCCACATACATAATGTGTAAATCTCTGCTTCTATTCACGCGCATTATTTTATTTTCGTGATCCAACTCAATTTCAAAACCATCCAAACCAATATCTGTAGTTAGCACTTTCTTAAGCACATCCAGATATTCGTCCAATGATATATCAAGTTCTTCTGCAGCCTCCTCGAAATCTTTAGCTTCTATTTTTCCTTCATAACAATGCTGTGTAGACGAGTCTTTTATATATAATTTTACAAGCTTTTTCTGATCCCACTCACTATGTAAATATATGTACCACTTTTTATCATATTCCAAATTTTTCAGCAATATCTTTTTCAAGTAAACAGAATCCATTATTTCAAGTATAAATTTAGGATATTAAAATATTGTGAAATTTTACTGCAAACATAATGTTTCGACAGTTTGGTGGCTAATGTAAATAAATCAGTTTGTGCAACTTCTTATCTTTGATACTATTTTTTAGGGTTGACTTAAGGTCTATATTA